GTATATATAAATAAAAATGGCCAAAAAGCACTTCTAAAAGTTCTCTACATTATTAGCAGGGAAATGCAAATTAAAAGCACAATAAGGGGACGCTACATGCACACTAGGATAGGATGATGAAATTTCCTAAATGAAATGGGCTGACAGCACCAAATGTTGGTGAGCACCTATGGGAGTATAAAATGCTACCATTACTATAGAAAATGGTTTTGGCAGTTTCTTCAAAGTTAAACATATCCTGTGTCTTAGCAATTCCACTCTTAGGTGTGTAAGAGAAATGAAAACCTGTATTTACAAAAAGATAATAAAGGATCTTTATGGCGACTTTATTGATAATCATCTAAAACTGGAAACCGTGCAAATACCCACCAAAAGAATGAATAAGCAAGTTAAGATCTATTCATAAAATAGAATATTACTTAACAGTTAAAAGAAACAAATTACTGTTAAAAGCAAGAATGTGAATGAATCCTAGGAACATTGAAAGAAGCCAGACACAAAAGAGTACCTACTTTCTGATTTGATTTATGTGTACACTACAAAGTTATGATGATAGAAATCAGGGTAGTGGTTGCTTCTTAAAAGAACAGTTGATTGAGAAAGGGGCACGAGGGAACTTTCTGGGGTTATGGAAATGTTCTACATCTTGATAGGGATGTGTAATACTTGGTTATGTGCATTTGTCAAAATTGATCAAATTGAGTAACATCTGTTCCTTTCACTGGATCTGTAATATACCTCAATTTTTTTTTTAAAAAGTCAGTCTTCAGGAAAAAGTATTTGCTAAGAGACTAGACATTGTTTCTAATATGAACTCTAAGTTTAGCAAGTTCAGTCACTCATTCATTCATAATGTAAGAGTAAATAAGAGAGACAAAGCCCGTTGGCAAATATAGAAAATAAAAGTAAACAAATATGGTGTAGTCAGTGCTCTGTCACTGAGGTATGAGCATAAAAGGAAGTAGCTAACTCCAGGGCCAAGGAAGGCTTCACAAAAGGAGGTGATATTTGATTAGGTTTGTCATGTTTTAGGAGGCAAAAGGCTTCTATCCATGGTAAAGGTAGCCCTTTCATTAGTCCTGAGTTTTAAGCTTAAGTTTTAAGTTTTAAGATATTTCCTGTAGGCATATTACCTCAGCATTTGACCAACTAGACCTTGTTGACCATATGTGTATCTTTACTGTCAGTCTTTGATCATTTTCCTTCTCATTTTTTAATTTACTTTGGGGAGTCTTCTTTTTCTTCCCTTTTCTTGCTTTTAAATAATAGTATGCATTGCTGTACTTATCTTTTACTGAAACAGTTGCCTTCCCACGGGTTTTTATCTGTTAAATATCTCCATTTAACAATTACTTGTCACTTATCTTTTACATGCAGGATATGAAAAGATGAACTAGATACAATCTCTGTCCTCAAAGAATTTTCTACTTAATATATAAAAATAACTATAATATAGAAAGTAGAATATATCATAGAAAGGTTATAGATAAATTATTATGGGGATTCAAAGAGAGGAGAGGTTAATTCCACTGGAATAGAATCAGTGAAGGCTTCTTTGACCTGGTATGTGAGCTAACTTAAAAATGGGAAGTATTGATATGTTATTGATTGGGAAAGAGCATTCCAGAAGAAAGGCCCAGGATATGCAGAGGTGTAACTCCAGGTGTGATGAGAATATTTTGCCTGGAGTTATAAGGGATACCAGAGAGGATTTTGATGGTAGTTTACAGAGGGATAAAAGTTAAAGAAACTTTTTAAGGGTAAGAAAGACCTGAACTTGTTTGATTGTTGAAAGAAGGATCCAGTGGACATTTATAGGACGTATTATGTAAGAAATCTGCTTTATATGCATAGAAAAAAGACTAAGGATATCTGTTACCATGGGCTATGTCTGGGGGGTCAGTAATTGCAAGAATATTTGAGTTCTTTCTGCTCTTCTGCATTCAAGTTTTTTAACCTTTTTTTTTTTTTT